TCTAGCAAATGAACTAATGGACTAGTTTTTCTAAAAAATATTTTATGTGAACAAACTAGAAAATATTTTCTGGAAACAAACATGGGAAAATCTATTAAACATTTTCCTATAAAATATTTTATGCAAAATAAATGGACTCTAAATTTACTATTTTTAGATTTTTCACTTATTATTATTTAATTGAATTGGTTCTTATCTGTTAAGAACCATGCTATCAGGAGAGCTGATCTGGAGAGTCGGGTTTTAGAGACAGTTTATCCAAAAAGCTTCAGGAGGAAAAATAATAGTATTTGGACCTGGATTATGGATAAGCTGGGTTCTAGAATTAATGTTGATGCAAAATCTGAAGAATTTGATTCACAGCCTCTGGTGTTCCCTTGGCACCTGTTGAAGTCCGTGGATAATACTTTCTTAATCATCAGCCGTAGGTAAGGAAGGATGTTTGTCTTATGGTTACTTTTTCATAAAAGCAACAAATGCCTCTTTCAAATTTTTGCCTTCTTTTTCAGTTTATTTGCCCTGTCTGATTTAAATTTTGTTTTGCTTTTTTTTTCTTTCTGCAAGCTTTTCTTTGGAATGTGTCTCTGATATGTACTGGTAGTTCCTTGGAATATTCTTCTGTTTGCCCATGCAAAATTTTTCTTTCAGCCAAACATGTGAAACTAAGTGGTGAAGTTTTCTAATTAATTTGAGCAAAACAAGCAACGACCAATTAGAATGGAACCGTGTGATGCTTACAAACCATTATGGGGGAACATGCAAGGTGTCATGGTTAAGGAAAAACAGTCAAAAAGGTCCAAAAAGAAGTGAGAAACAAAGCAAACCCCTATTATTATAGATGTTTGCTTGGATCTCTCTCTGCACTATTCGGTTTCCCTTTTAGGGCTTTTGGAAGTTGCCTCACTTTCCTTCTTATTCCCTGCATTACCCAGATCAGAAGGGTGAGGGCAAAATATTTCTTCAAGTTGGAATCTTATTGTCTTCAAAAGCATGTCTAGTTATTGTACTCCGTCAATGCACTACATCAAACCAAATAACACATACTTCCATCCAAAACTTTAGTGCTTGATAGAAACTGATTTTAGAAGGTTGCAGGGTTCACCATTGCAGGGAACAATATTCACAACTTTATAAGTTGGTTCTATCTGTTTGATTTTTTTCTTAAATAGAAATATGAAGCTTTACTTTTTGTTGGATGATCATTTTGATTCTGTTTAAGTAAACTGTACAGTCTATCATGAAGTTTTGTTTGTATTTTCAGCTTTGAAACTCTGTGGGTCATAGATTTAGTGTCAGGAGAGATGAAAGAATGCATCAAAGGTTTGTTGTTTTTCTAGAGTTTTTTTATTTTTTCATAATACTCTAATGTTCATGTCTAATATTTGCTTATCAAAATTCTGTAAAGGATTTCCCAACATTTTGGAGACTTGTGGACAGTTGATCACAGGGAAAGTATCCCTTTTGAAACAGCTGCCAATTGATTACTTGAAACAGCAGACTGATGTCAACTGTTCACTGAAGGAATTTCCATATGCTACTCTCATATCAAACTTAACAACCTTTCAGAATGACATTGTCTTGTGTGACACAGGTAGAGCAAATTCTGTATTTTCTTCATCTTGATGTTCATCTGCTGTGGTTTTGGTTTATTACTTATTTCTCTCTTAATCTCTTGAAGTTGCACATAGGGTTCTTAAAATAAGTAGAGAATCCGGTGCCTGTTCGAACTTCCAGTTATCAAATTTTGGGATTCTTGGATTACCTTTCTGGCTATCATTCCCTGTGGAGAGAGTATATTCTGTGTGAGTATGAGTACTGTATTCTGCAAGGTAGCTTCTTTCTGAATTCAAATCGAACTCTTCTTAAAAAATGGTGACTTCACTTGCCTTAAGACAGTGAGTTCGCTGAAGAGAATTTCCTTTCAATTTTTTATGCTGTGATATTTGTTCCTTTTTGGCTTACATGCCAGTTGCATGTAGACCTGTTTCACCCCACTGATATTGTCCCCCTCTTTTGCCCATGTTTTTGGCTGATTAGTGCTGGAGCTTCAGCCGATCATATTGAGCACGTCAGCTTGTTACCAGGTATTTGCTGTTTAGTTTGATTAATTTCTGTGTTAATGATGTGAAATAATCTTTTGCACCATTAATCACTATCATAAAACATATCCACCTCAATATCAAGAGATTTTAGATCTTTCAATACCATTTCCATCTGTGCTATTTTAGGTCTTCCTCTTCCTGTCTTCCCTCCTGTCAAACCATCACTTATCCAAACCAAGGGTCCTCTGTTGGCCTAGCCATCTTAATTTCCCTTTTATCATCCATCTCCAATGTGCACTGTGAGGATCTTTTGCCTGATATGTTCATTTATAATCGTATCTTGGGTTAATAAAGTTTTTCGTGACTAAAATTTAGTTGGAGTATCTAATGCCCTAGGTTTCATTTTGCTTCCGTGCATGCTACATCTCCTTCAGGAATTTGGTTTTGAATAAAAGTTCTCAAATGATGTGGCATCTTGGCTTTCCATGTCATACGTCAACACTAAAAATACTTAACTTGAACTTAACACTAAAAATACAAATGATAGTTGAACTGGTTGTACATTTTTCTAATGAAATGCATTCCACATAATATAACCACAGCTGCTCTGTGGATGACGTGCACACTTTGACACAACCTTGATTTTACTTGAAAATCAAATGAATTTCTGCTTGCAGGGTTCAGGTTTCAATTTTCAGCCACTGACTTACCATGATCTTGGTGAAACAAAGATGTAGGCAGTTTGATTTTTGTTTCAGCATACTTCTGCACTCCTGAAAAATGAAACATGTCTTTGCTTGCTTTGAAATCCAAAGAAGCTGAGCCACTTTTGTGTTTGCCATTCCACAAATATTTCAATCACAAGAAGACTTGTTCTATTTTTTCTTTTGTTTTTCCAGACTGCACCTAGTGCTCGAAAAAACTATGCTGTGTTTAGGCAGCTATCTTGTTCTCATGCAAACATATAAAGATTGGAAAACCCTGCAGGCAGGCTGCTTGCATGCGAGCTATACCGATTTACATCCCTGGTTGTTGCCTTAATATATTCATGCCACAAACCACGAAATAATCTGTCATGGCTTGTTTTCTGGTTTATGTAACAGGAAGGGTTGACATAAGGTTAAATATAGACATCCCTATGGATACCGAGCTTGTTGAACCATTACAAGAAGGATGTATATGGCGCCAGGCAAGAGGGTCTGCTACAGTCATCTTAGGAGCAGAAGATGTGGTGGGATCCTCAGAGAAGGTTCCTAGTTGCAGAGCGTTTTTTTTTTTTTTGTTTTCTTCTTCTCGCCTTACCTTCCATATCATGCTTTTGCTTTTGATCCTTTGGCACAGTAGTCCTCTCCTTCCAGTCCCTGAGTACTTTTTGGTGTATTCAGGCTGGTGTTTCCCAACAGTGGTACGATGAATTGGATAATCTGGCATTTTCAACTCCTGGATTAGAGATGGCTACTGAAGAGGATAGTGCAACCTCTGATGTCAATTACCAGGATGAGAGACTTCATATTGATTGCGCTATCAACACTAGTCCCGGGACAAGTGAGGTATATTTGGTTTGTCCTTTGCTTGATCGCTTGCTTTTGACATGTCCTTCATTCTATTTTTTTTAATTTTTTTGTGTGCTGATTTATCGTTTCAAATTAGCACTAATATCTTTATTTTATCTGCAATAACAGCTTATTATACATGCGGCACTGTATCTAAAACTAAGAAGGCATCTTGATCTGGAAGAGGGTGGACAGCAGAAACACGCGGAGAGGATAGCTGATATTTTGAACCCTGGAAGAGTTGGAGGACTGGAAAAAGATTCATGCATTCAGCTCTTGTTAAAATCGAACTGTAATTTGAGAGACCTCATCTTTGTGAAACCCTTGCATTTGAGGATAAATTTGGATACCCTGGATCACCCAAAAGCTGATAATTTAAAAGATATCATCTTAACAGACTCTGCCATTGAAGTCAATGTATCTCTCTAGGCATGATTGCTGCTGTGAAAACACGAATATCCTGGTCACAAATTTTTGAAGGTTCGACTTTCGTCACTCAAAAGCTTGCGTTCATGCATACAGCAAGACTCTCCTGAGGGCAAGAGGAAAAAATAAATTAACACTCAGCAGGGATCCTCCATTGCAGGGCATGTCCTTGTGTCGTGTTTTTGTCATAAATCCAAATGTGAAAGGAAAATCAATAGATAGGAATTCAAAGTTCATTCTGATTGTTGTACTGAGAAGAACAGATCATAAATAGAAAGAAAAAGAAAGAGAGATGGGATTTGGTGAACACTTGTTGAATTGAAATCGTTTCTGGTCACACCCTAATGTTTCATATGGAATGTTAATGTCGATTCGTTGAGGTTGATGCAGCTTGGTTTGACGTTGTGATATGAGAGGGTTGAAAACTACCGTTACGAGTTGACCAGGAACCCTCTACCAAACTCACTAGTGGAGTTTACTAGGCTACTTGGAGCTCGACCATGGTAGCAAAATTGAGGATGTGAAATAATTGGACAGTTTTTGTATGAAGAGATTTGTGATTGAGAATTGAGATTGGAAAACTAGCAAAAGCTTTTGATCACGCAGGCTAATTATCCAGATCAAGATCAACAAGCTTTTATCTTATTAATCATTGTAATAAAACCAGGATCGGCTTACCAGGTTAACTCGAAACCTAACCGATGTTGAACCTAAACTGATCTGGCTAGAAGAAAAAAATTGGTTGGTCTGTTAAAAAACCTCGATCAAAATCTAACCTTCATGTTGAATTTTTCTTTAAAATAATAAATATGACGTGGTTTTATCCTCTCCGACACAGGCCAGGTTCTACAAGTAAGATATTTATCAATTTCTTTCAACATTGCTGCAACCTGCAAATTACTGTTACCATTCAAAACATGCTTCCGTGTAGTAATGGTGGTATTATATGTTATGTTCCCTTCTGATCCGACTACAATTGTTCATCAAAGTATCTTCACATCATAAAGTCACAACTCAATTCACCTCAAATTACACGTTCAAGATTCAGATGAAGAACAGGGGGCGCTGCAATGGGCTGAAGCACCATAATATTTTTATTCATCAACATTCAATTTCTGTCTAGGCGGAAGCATTGACTGCAATTTTCAACCCCCAGTCACAGTGACTGGGGATACTGCATATAAAATAGTTTTGTCCCTCCTGCAGCTTGATTGTATCGTTTCCACTTGTGTACGTGTTAGAGCTCTGAGAGACTGTGCAGCCATCGTAGCCATCGACATCTACAGTGGCCACATCATGCAATGAAGGATCGTAGTTGAAAACTGTTCATCAAGAAAACACAGCACTGAAGTTAATATAGTTACCATAACAATTATAGAAGACAAATAATTATAATTATGTGGTGGTTCTCAGCATTTTACTCAGGCTGTCGCCGGCCTTGAACTTTTTCCCATCTGTCCAACTCTGGATGTTGAAAGTCCAGCCTGAGGTGTCACCGACGGTGAAAGTAGCTGCCTTGGCGATGGCGATCTTGAATTGGAGTGATAGAATGACAAGAAGAGTACTAACCAGAACTACGTAGATCGCACTGCATCTTCCCTGACGACCCATTTCAGCAATTACCAAGAATTAATTGATTCTTGAAAGAGAACGAGGTGAATCCTGAAGTGCATGCTTGAGTTATTTTTATAGAGAGTTCTGTCCTATAAAGGACAGGAACAGTTGATTATGTTATGTTTTAAAAAACAAATTCAATCGGATTCGTTACGTTTTTTTAAAAAAAATATTTTATTAAAAAATATATTAAAATAATATTTTTTAGTTCATAAAAATTATTTTTAATTTTAGTACAAAGATAGTTATTTTTAATTTGGTTCAGTTTTTATCGGAAAAAACAACCAAACCAAAATTAAAAAAAAATAACTAAAACTGATTCAAACCAACCGGTTTCGGTTCTATTTTGTTTTGTTTTTTAAGAAAAAATTGTTTCAAACATGTTTGGCTTAGTTTTTTTTATTTAACTTGATTTTTTTAGTTTTGTCTCGGTTTTTTTATTTGGCTCGGTTTTTTCTGATTTGACTCGTGTTTTTTAGTTTGGGTTTGGTTCAGTTTGATTTTTTTTATTTCAGACTTATAAAACTAAAATCAAACCGAACCAGTCAGTTTTTTCAAAATTCTAATCAATTTAATCGGGTTTTTTCACGGTTTGGTTTTTTCGATTATTATTTGGCTCGGTTTTTTCTGATTTGACTCGTGTTTTTTAGTTTGGGTTTGGTTCAGTTTGATTTTTTTTATTTCAGACTTATAAAACTAAAATCAAACCGAACCAGTCAGTTTTTTCAAAATTCTAATCAATTTAATCGGGTTTTTTCACGGTTTGGTTTTTTCGATTATTTTTTTCAGTTTTTCTCTGTTTTTTTTTTTTTTTGCTCATCGCTGCTTCAACACATCAAAATAATATGGAAACATTAAAAAATATCAATTTGAAGTAAAGAAAAAATAAAAAAATTAATTTTTTAAAAAATATTTTTAAAACATAAAAACAAATAAGATATAAGATACACTTAGTTGATGACTTTTGAAAAAACAAACAATAATAACAGAGAATGAATTATTATTAATTTTTATTAACTATATTTTAAAAGGGTAAAATCTTGTTAGTCAAGTTTAGAAACATTCCTAAATTGAAGCAGGGATTTTGTTTTTTAGTTATCTTGGTTTTTTTTCCCCAGATAATGCTTTAAAATATTTATTTAATTTGATTTTAATTAATTAGGTCGATTTAACTAGTTTAAATGTTATTTTTCATATTAATTTTATGAATTATTGAATATAGAATCTACAAAAACAAAATCAACTCTATGCTTTATGATTATAACATAAGGACTTATAACATTAGGGCAGGAAAGTTCAGTTTTGGGGTATCAAATGCCCGTGAACCTTTCCCAATTTCTTTAATAGCTTGCGGGTCAATGTCATGTGAAGACATAGTCGAGGAAGATTGGGTAAATAAATAATTCATGATTTTTACTTAGTTCTTAGTTGGTTCCTAATTAGTGTTGTATTTGTATCTATTCAGATTTTTAGAAATAAAAAGAATTCATTAGTGATTTTTGTTTTATAAATATTATTCTGTTTTTCCAAAATTATATTTATATTATTCTATAATCTAAATGTTATATTTTTTTTATTTTTTTATTTACGTGGGTGTCCGGGCCAGCTTCCGCGCATCACAATTAATCTCACAGTCTACTGAACACCCTGCAAATCGAATGAATATTTAAAGCACTGCGAGAGTAACAGCCACATATATAAGGACTCAAACTCAAAAACAGTGGAAAGAAATAAATCTTTTTAACCGTCGGGCCAAAACCCTCCATGTAAATATATAATTATTTTTTAATAGACTTTGAAAATGGTAAAAAGTAAAGAGGAAAAGTAAGTGAAAATATATAATTATTACTTATATTTGGAAAACAATGCATTAAGGAATGAGAAGGGAGTGTTTGGCAGTCATAAGAACTCATATCTTTAGTTTGACTTTCTACAAATAAAAAAATAAAAATTCATTTCAAAACTGTCTTAAGAATATATTTATTTTTATATTTTTTTCTTTATTTATCCCACCTAACATTTTTTATCCCTTCTATAATTGTCCTTTTTAGGGCAATATTTATTTATTTAAATGGGTTGAGATGGCATGATTGCAAGGCAAGGACAGGAGTCCATTAGTATTTTAGTGTTGCAATCACTAAGTACAATTTCAAGATTCCAACTACAAAAACGTCCTTTTCCTCCTGTGTCTTCACATGCTAACCAAAGAAGGAAATAGATGGAAGAGAATCTCTTCTCAAGACAAAATAAAAAATCCTTGCATTTAGCACATAAAAGAAGCAATGAGAAAGCATAAAATTTGCATCATGTTGCTTGGCCCTAGGTTCACAATCTCACACACACATACACAATAAATAAATAAATATATGTATATGATAAATTAGATTGGGTTTTGCAGTTTTTTTATATAGTATCTTGACGTGACGTATACGAAATTCTCAAGATTTAATTATTTATTTTGGTTTTTTGAACAAATAATATAGAGTAAATCTTGAAAATCATGAAAGACATCTCTCAATTGAAAATGAAATAGTGTATTATAAAGAATAACAATGTATAGACATTATAGAAAAATATTTTTCATCACAAGGATATAAGTGTAATTTGCATAAAATACAATGACAAAAGTCTTTATGATCAATTTATAAATGAAAGTAAACTAAACAAACTGAATATTTTTTTTGAAAATTATAGTAGCTAAAATAAAAATTTGTCAAAATATCCATTGGTTAGTAATCGTTTTGCAATCAAATAAAGGAATATTGGGAACTTTATATATATACACATTTTCTATTTGAATCATTTTACATTATTAATTTTTCATGTATCTATATTTGCCTTATATTACTCATATTTGAATTCATAAAATTAAATTAAAAACCTTTTCTCCATAGATATAACATTGGTTTTTACGGTATCAAAATTAAAATAGTATTTAGTTACTATTTTAAGTTTGAAAATTTGTATATAGAGGATCTATTCTTGTATATTTTCTGTTTTTATTTTAAAATGTTAAAAATATATTTTAAAATTATAATATAGTTTTTATTTCAATTTTATTATAATTAATATTGATCCCTCTTGTACTCATGCTCTACATAGTTCAATGCACGTCGAATACACAAGTAGACCGGGGCTGGCCATGCCAATTCATGAGCATGGGGATCCCTTCTATTTTATTTTTATTTTTCACAAGAAGTCGCCTGGCCATAGCCAGCTAATGTCTCAAAGGTTTGTTTAACATGGCAGCCACCGCACAGTTAGGCACACAAATTATAATAATAATAATAATAATAATAATAATGTTAACAGTGAAATGCAAATAATTTCAGTATATGTTAATAATTGCTAATAATAATGTGTGTGCCCAGAGTTGGCTGCCATCACTGAAATGCTAACGTTTTTTTCATATATGTTTTTTAATTGTAAACTTGGTTTTTTATATTATTTTTTAATATTAGATTTATTGAGCATTAAATTTTATAATTTATTTTGATTTATTTTTTATGAAATTATCATATTCTCGTTTAATATTAGATTTATTGAGTATTAAATTTTATAATTTATTTTTATTTATTTTTTATAAAGTTATTATTATCTTATGTCCTGAATTGCGAGATTTGCAGGTTAATCGTGTTGACTAGGGTAATTTTTTTAATTATATTTTTTCCCAACTTATCTTTCACTATTAGATTAATTGAGAGTTGAATTTCATAATTATTTGTTTTATTTATTTTCTATAAATTTATCAAAGTTTGATCATAACCTAAGTTGCAAGTTTTACGAATTAGTCAGATTGATTCAATTTTTTTTAATTAAATATTTTTCAGTTTCATCTTTTAACATTGAGTTGGTTGAAAAATGGACTACATTAAAAAAAAAACTTGTAATTGTTTCCTATAAGATTATCACGATGTTATGATCTGAATCACAAGTTACGCTGGTTGACTCAGGTTTTTTTTTATTTTTTTAGTTGAATTTATTTTTAATTTCATCCTTTAATTTTGAGTTGTTGATTGAGAATTAAACTTTATTATTTTTTTTAGTTTTCATTCTATGATATTATCTTAGTATCAAGACCCAAATCACCATTTTAATTAGTTGAATTAGGTGGTTTTTTATATTTTTTTAATTGATATTTTTTAATTTTATCCTTCAATATTATGTTTATTGGGACTTGAGTTTTATAATTTATTTTGATTTGTTTTCTGTGGGATTATCATGATCTCATGATCTATATTTGACAAATTAACCTGAGTTAACTTAACCTTTTATAGTTGAATTTTATTTTTGATTTTATCCATCAATATTGGGTTAATTGAGAATTGGGTTTAAAAAATTTATTTTTTATAGTGTTATTAAGATCTCATGACCTGTGTAGAAAATTTGACAAGTTAATTCAAGTTAATTTGAGTCAATCGAATACGCTGTTATTTCAATGTTTTAAAATTTTATAATCTAATTATATTTTTATTCGTCATCAAAATTATCTTTGAATTTGTTGAGTTAATAAAATCATATCAGGTCAATAATTAAAAAATTCTCCTTAAAAAACATATTAATAGCATTTATATATTTTTTACATCCAAAAAATAATAATTTGATCCACAATGCATCACAAACAATGATATAATATTAGCTATCTAGTTAGCCTTCTTTGTCTATGAATTTATTTTTTTATTTAAATCCAATTCACTATTATATAAAACCTGAACATGATCCAACCATTCTAGGTATAGATCATAGGTTGGATGCATGATAAATTTAAAAAAAAAATCATATAAACAATATTATTTTAGTAATAATAGTAATAAAAAAAAAAAAGTTAATTGATTATAGGTTGAGCCACCAAATCAACTATATAAGTAGTTCAAAGAAAACTGGTTCAATTAAAATCTTGGGTTGATGAGTAACCCACCAAACCAAACCGGGTGGAATTTACAACTACCCCCCTTCAACGGTTTCTAGAATCGTCACAGGCCAGCTCATTCCCCTCCACGCACGGGCAAAAACCTTTCAAAACCTCTCATTCACTTGTCTATCCATTTTCCTCGGAGGCACCAAAAAAAACCAAGTCATTTTCTATTACCTGGCTTTGTCTCTTTGGATTTTCCTGTATCTTTGGTAAAAAATTTCTTATATTTAAATTTTAGGTTGTTGCTACCTAGGTTTAGTTAATCAAGTTTGGAGTTTTTAGCCACCCAACATCCTTGAAATACCATGATGTTCGATATCTTGTGTATCAAACAACAACCTTAATTAATTGTATTCTTTGAGAATTTGGTGTTAATTTGGTTTCATTTCTTGTGAGGATTATCTCCCTTAAAAAATTTTGAAATCTTTTGAGTTTGAGACGACGTCATTGCCCACCATTAATATTTCTTGGAGCTCAAGCTGATAAATTTAGGACATATTTGGCTTTGAAACATGGGTTGCTTTTGTTGTTTTTCATCTAATGAGAATAATGTAGATAGGAGGAGAAATGGTTCAAGAAGATCAGCTCAGCCACCTGCCTATCCTCCTCGGAAAGATCACAATAATATTGCACCACAACCGGGTAGGTTCTTTTGGACATCTCTCTCTACATGCGTTATATATTGAAACATCATGGGATTTTAGGACGAGTGTATGATCATGTCAAGTTAAATGGAATCAATTATCTTTTGGAAAGATTTAATCAATTATATAGACCTTCGAAAGCTCTAATTCTAATATCTTGAACAGAGAATTGCAAGCCAAGACCCCGACCTGAATCTAATGAAAACAAGGATGCTCGTGATCATAAAGAAGCTGCCAACGGTAGCAGTAATGTCATTGCAGCACAAACCTTCACTTTCCGTGAGCTGGCCATGGCCACGAAGAATTTCCGACGGGAATGTCTAATTGGTGAAGGTGGATTTGGTAGAGTTTACAAGGGAAAACTTGACAAAAGTGGTCAGGTATGTTGTTTTTTTTCCATTGATGTCAGCTCAGCACACTCTCTAGCTAGCTTCAAATATAAATAGTGATTCGAGGGACAATTTATTTTATCCAGGTTGTGGCTGTGAAGCAACTTGATAGGAATGGTTTGCAAGGGAACAGAGAGTTTCTTGTTGAGGTGTTAATGTTGAGTCTATTGCACCATCAGAATCTAGTAAATCTCGTCGGATACTGCGCAGACGGGGATCAAAGACTTCTGGTTTATGAGTACATGCCAATGGGATCTCTTGAAGACCATCTACTAGGTACACTAGCTAGTTTTTGTTCATGTTTCTTTCTGCATTATGGAATGCTATAACTATTTGGATATGTACAATTTTCAGATCTTACACCTGAGCAAAAGCCATTAGATTGGTTCTCACGAATGAAAATAGCATTAGGAGCTGCAAAAGGTTTAGAATACTTGCACGATAAGGCTAATCCCCCAGTTATATATCGTGATTTGAAATCATCAAACATCTTGCTGGACAAATTCTTTAATGCCAAACTCTCTGATTTCGGGCTAGCAAAGCTTGGACCTGTTGGGGAAAAGTTACATGTATCTTCAAGGGTGATGGGAACGTACGGTTATTGTGCACCAGAGTATCAAAGAACTGGCCAACTTACAGTCAAGTCAGATGTGTACAGTTTTGGCGTTGTTTTTCTGGAGTTAATCACTGGAAAGAGAGCCATTGACACGACAAGACAAAACAATGAGCAAAATCTAGTTGCTTGGGTAACTAATCTCAATCTCCTTTCCTCTTCTTAATCTGTCAGTCTAGTAACTTATACATATAATCTCAAAAGGGGGTCAAGTGTGCCAACATGTTCGCTTCTAAAACGTTGTCACAGGCACAACCAGTATTCAAGGAACCAAGTAGATACCCAGAACTAGCCGATCCACTTCTACAGGGAGATTTTCCTGTTAGAGGCTTAAATCAAGCAGTTGCAGTTGCAGCCATGTGTCTCCAGGAGGAACCATTGGTTCGTCCACTGATCAGTGACGTGGTCTCTGCTCTTAGTTTGCTTGGAGATGGTCTAGAAGAAGGAGCAGAACCAGCTGCTTCTTTTCCTTCCCCGCCAACCATGGAAACCATTGATAGTGCAAAAGAACGTCAACTAGCTGTGGAAGAAGCCATAGAATGGGGATCAAATTCAAGGCGTATGGCGTCGCAGAGTCCATGGGCTACTGCGTCGTAGATTTTCTTCCGTTTAGATTTTGTATGCATCAATATGGTTGTTTTCCTTGATGCCTCTCTCTCTCTCTCTCTCACTCAAAAGACATTAATTCTTTTATTCTTTCGTTTGTGTTTGATTAATGTCTCGGGACAGAAAGAACAATTACCGAAAAAGATGGAAGCATGTTTGATTGACATAAAGTACAGAGAGATATGTCCTCGCCATTTCCATCTCTTTTATCTTAAGACAGTAACTAAAATACCTTATTGTCTGTTGTGCAATACAAGAATATGCATCATCATGTTACTGCACTCCTCTCCAGAGCAAGCATAATAATGTCAACAAGGAGATGTGATTGTTCAATTTAATCTCATTGAATGATCTTTATACTTTATTAACACGTCTATTGCATTTGTCTGCTCTCTTCAACCTCGGGCTTGAATTTCGTCCTGGGAATAGTATAGGTCTCTGGTGATCAGCGTCCAGAAACACGGGAATAAAAGACGAAAACTCATCAAATAATAGTGCAAGCCTTTTGCCCGCTTCTGTTGCTGACTTGTTTTGATTTTGATGTAAGAGATTCAAAGCTGGAATTAACAGTGTTAATTAAGGAAAGATTACTTGCTAAAGACAAGATACGGCTGGTGGCTGGTGGCTTGCAACTGGAGGCTGGTCGGTTGATGGTTGGGCGGTGACAGCTGGTGGCTGCCTGAGAGAGAACTGAGTCTTGATATTCTACCGATTCATCAAGTTGGTGGTAGAATTTATAGATATTCCGGTTGGCATTACGCCGTTGATACACAACAGCCCTTTAAAGAGAAATGCTCAGTTAGAACATGGAAACACGACTGAATTTGTCTTAGTTACTCTTCCTAGTTAGTGAATGAAGGGAAGAGCTTCTCAACCAACACCAGAAAACACAAGGAGCTCCTTCCGCATGTAACCATGGGCATCGAAGGGCATCTCTAATGGGATGTTATTTTAAAGAGATAAATTGGTAAAATAGTATTTTAAATAGTATAAATATAGTTTTTTTTACTATGTATGTTCTAATGAAAAAAAGCTATTTAAAAAGTATTTTATTAGAGTAGAATAAATAAATGTTTTATTTTTTAATAATTTTGATGTTATTTTTTTTCCATATGTGTAAATTTAATTGATTTATTTTTTTGTTGGTCCTACTTTGTAGTTTTGGCTTTTTTGAAAGAGGATCAAATCAGTGCTGATCCATTTAACTGCTTCTTGGTCATCATTCCATTGCCAAGTTTTATCTTCTTCAAAGATAACATCTCTGCTCATAATTACCTTCTTGGTGATGGGATTATACAGCTTGTATCCCATCCTTCTCTCATCATATCCAACAAATATGCATTTCTCGCTTTTATCATCAAGTTTGGTTCTTCTTGGATCTGGGATCTTTGCATATGCCACACAACCAAAGACTCGAAGATGAGTAACACTTGGTTTATGACCACTCCATGCTTCTTGTGGAGTGACAACTTGCAAACTTCTGGTTGGGCAACAGTTCAGCAAATATACTGCACATGATACAACTTCAGCCCAGTATTGCTTGGGCAGCTTCTTTGCTTTGAGTAGACTTCTTGCCATATCAAGAATTGTTCGATTTTTCCTCTCAGCTACACCATTCAGCTGTGGTGTATAAGCTGGTGTTGTTTGATATCCGATGCCTTGTTGTGTACAAAAGGCTTCAAAGTCATTTGCTGTATATTCTCCACCTTGATCAGATCTCACGGTTCTGATCTTATAGCCACTTTGCTTCTCAACAATTGCTTTAAAATCTTTAAAACAATTGAACACTTCTGACTTCCTCTTCAAAAAATATACCCAAGTCTTTCTACTAAAATCATCAATGAAAGTGAGAAAGTATCTATTTTGTCCAATCGACATAGGCTTTATAGGACCACACACATCTGTGTGTACTAACTCCAGTGGCTTGTTTGCTTTCCAATTGACTTCTTTGGCAAAACTGGATTTGTGATGTTTTCTAAGGACACAACTCTCACAGACCTCTTCTGGATGATCAATGTGGGGCATACCTTTGACCATCTTCTTGCTTGCTAGCATCTTCAGACTTGTGAAATTCAGATGTCCAAGCCTCAGGTGTCAAAGCCATTCTTCACTGTTGGTGATGGCACTCAAACACTTTGCTGCATCATATTGGATGTTTAAAGGAAACATCCTATTCTTAGACATTTTCACATAGGCAATTAATCTCCCATTGTAATCTGTAATTGTCAGATGACAATTCTTCATGTAAAGTGTATAACCTTTCTCCAGAAGTTGACCTATACTCACCAAGTTCTGCTTTATATCTGGGACATAATAGACATCGACGATGTAGCTTTGATCACCATTCTTCAACTTGATTGGGATGTTGCCTTTACCTTTGAATGAAACTTTTGAGGTATCTCCAAAGGTGATAAAACCTTGTATGGTCTCATCTAGATCACCAAATAAATCTCATTGGCCACACATATGATTGCTGGCTCCAGAATCAAGATACCAAATATTCTCTTGATTCTTGTCAAGTCCTTGTTGGACAAATAATGCAGCTGCTCCTCTACTGTTGTTGGCATTCTCTTCTACATAGTTGACTTGCTCACGTATCTCCAGTGGAGCTTTCTTTTGACATTCAGTGCTATAGTGCCCAAATTGATTGCAATTATAACACTGAATATTCCTCTTGTCACGGTTATTGTAACCGCCTCCTCTTCCTCTAGGAGTGAATGTTTGTTGTCCTCGACCTCCTCTAGTGGTGTTTCTACCACCTCTTGCTCTAAAACCTGTATTCCAAGAACCTCTGCCTTGAAATCGTTGAAATTCTCCTCGTGTTTGTTGACTTCTTCCTCGAGTGGTGTATCCACTTGTTGAAGTCTCCCCTTGCTCATATCTGTCTTTGAGAGACAACTTTGCTGGTAAGGCATGCTCAATTGTCTTATCTCCATTTCTTTTTACAATCTTCTACTCATGAGCTTGCAAAGAACTCATAAGTTCATCCATTGTTAACTTCTCCACTTCTTTGGACTCTTCAATAGCGACAACAACAAAATCAAATTTTGGATCTAGGGATCTCAAAATTTTCTCAGTAATTCGAGCATCTGAAAGGGCTTCTCCATTTCTTCTCATCTGATTAACTATCACCATAATTCTTGTGTGATAATCAGAAATGGATTCTAAGGACTTCATTTGTAGCAATTCAAATTCACCTCGTAAAGATTGGAGACGAATCTTCTTTATTATGTTAGCACCTTTGTATTTTTGTTGAAGAGCCTCCCATATTTCTTTTGATGTTTCTGCGGAAGCAATGATTTCAAATGTCGCTTCATCAAGACCTTGATAAATGATAGTCTTTGCTTTGTTGTCTTTCTTTCTATTGGCTTTGAGGACTTGCTTTTGTACCTCTAGTAAAGCATCTTCTAATTCTTTGGACTCTGGTTTATCATAACCATATTGCACAATGTCTATACACTCTTGTGAACCAAGGAATGCCTTCAATCTGATGCACCAACTATCATAGTTGTCTTTGGTTAGCTTCGGGATGAGTGTTTGTGCATTTTCTGTAGTCATTTTGCTCTTTAAATGACTATATGACCTTTTTGGAGTTGCATTTGGCAAAACCGACATCGTAGATGGATTCGGAATGGTCCAAATAATAGGGAACTGGTCTGACTTTGTAGAAAACGGGTCAAAAATGGGGCGAACCGGTCCAAAAACCAATTCGGGTGGTTTGTTGGGTTGAACCGGGAATATTCCAAGGAATATTCTTTTTAACTTTGACTTTAGAATATGGCTCGGAGCTTGGCTTGGCTTCGAAATATGGCTTGAAGCTCGGCTCGGCTTCGGAATATGGCTCGCGGCTTGGCTCGCGGCTTGGCTCGCGGCTCGGCTTGAGGCTTGGCTCAACACGGCTTAAATATGGCGGGCGTGTGTCTCACTCGTCTTCTTCCTCGGGGCGCGTGGGCTACAGTGCTGAAATTTCAGACGGAGAGTGTAGTCCACCCCGTGCTCCGATTGATCTGATTTTTGCACCGATGAGTTCATATTGATGAGCTCTACACTTTGGAATGATCAAAACTTATTTTTGACAACTTTGAAAATTCGGATATTTCCCAAAAATACCTCTGTTTTCTGACGAACGAGGCTCTGATACCAATTGTTGGTGGGAGAAACCACTTGTGGTGGCTTTGAAACACTCGGAAGGGATAAAACACACTCTTTTATTCCAAGAACAACAAGCTTACAATAATGAAAAGTTTGCAATAACAAGCCCTCTTTCTTTCTCTCTAGTGTTTCTCTCAATCTCTCCACACATAATTGCATAAACTTAGCTGCATATTTATACACGAATTCAAAACAAGAAAATTCAACCTTCAAGTGTGAAGGCGGCTGTTGCCGACTGTGTGAAAGCGGCTGGCGGCCGGTGGTTGGCGGCTTACGGCTTGTGACTGGCGGCTGGAGGCTGGTCGGTTGGTGGCTGGACGGTGACAGCTGGTGGCTGCCTTCCTTGACCTTCTGGATTGAGTTTACTTCAACATATACTTTATTAACATGTCTATTACATTTGTCTGCTCTCTTCAACCTCAGGCTTGAATTTCGTCCTGGGAATAGTATAGGTCTCTGGTGATCAGCGTCCAGAAACACGGGAATAAAAGACGAAAACTCATCAAATAATAGTGCAAGCCTTTTGCCCGCTTCTGTTGCTGACTTGTTTTGATTTTGATGTAAGAGATTCAAAGATGGAATTAACAGTGTTAATTGAGGAAAGATTACTTGCTAAAGACAAGATACACTCAATCAAGTAAGGGAATCTGGTGTATAGAGAGGAACTCGTTGTTTAAGAGAGAACTGAGTCTTGATATTCTACTGATTCATCAAGTTGCTGGTAAAATATATAGATATTCCGGTTGGCATTATGTCGTTGATACACAACAGCCCTTTAAAGAGAAATGCTCAGTTAGAACGTGGAAACACGACTGAATTTGTCTTAGTTACTCTTCCTAGTTAGTGAATGAAGAGAAGAGCTTCTCAGCCAACACCAGAAAACACAAAGAGCTCCTTCCGCATGTAACCATGGGCTTCTAAGGGCATCTCTAATGAGATGTTATTTTAAAAAGATAAATTAATAAAATAGTATTTTCAATAGTATAAATATAGTTTTTTTTACTATGCATGTTCTAATGGAAAAAAGCTATTTGAAAAGCTA